TAAACAATTAACTGTCAACCAAACCAAAGCAGATGCAGTTATCAGTTATGGTCTATGTACAGATTTTGGAAGTCTGCGGCGGAGACAGAGTGGAAGGCTTCATTTTGAGACCATTTTCAGCTCTCAAGTATCGCACCGGAAGTATTTTCGCCGATGCCCAACCGTTTCACAAGTTGATACTGCCACAATCTGTCAGTTATACTGAACCTAAAGCTGTTCTACTTACTGTCCGTTGGGCATTGTTCCTCCCTTGACATTCATTCAATTTGTGGCCTCACGCTATTTCGCGAAAAATTTTTGTTTGATGTTTTCTGAAATTAGAAAATCTCCTACTTGCAACAGGCGAGGAATTGAAGCTGGGTAGTATAAGGCAAATTAACCGCTAACGTAGAGAAGCGTGCGTGTTGGAATATTCCATAAGCAAGAAACTTTTCGGTAATGTATGGCAACTAATGACTGCGCCGCCCACTAGAAGTCAACCGAAATAAGTTGCAACAAAACTGTGGGGTTTTCGAATTCTATGTAGCCTGCGGCCTAATATTAGACCTTCCAGTGATATGTTGCTCATGACATTTCCTTTGAGCGAGCAGATTTCCAAAGCGACTGGCACCCACCGGTTCACATGTGATTGCCAGCTCACAATATAAAGCGTGAAATTAAATCTCAGTATGTTTGAACGTAAGGAGGTGTTCTTCAAATGGGAAGTAACATCTACACAATATATGATGCAACTTTTACCCAGGTGGGTAGTTGAATAACGTTTGTATGTGCCACACTCATCAGACGCAACCAGTTAGATGAGTCTGCTTACCAAACATCAGGACAGATCAGCTCACTTTGCGATCAACTTAATAAACAAAGCTAAATTGATGCTCTTTGGAGTATTGATGATACCAGTTCTGGGCGATCCACCACTAGTCAGGAGGCACTGCGGTTCTAGGATACCTCCAAATGCATTGCCAACATATCGACGAGGCATACTTTGCAGTAGAAATCCTGATGACCTCGTCGGAATTAGAGACCGATCATTGTACTTCACAATAAACATGCGTGCTGATGCTTATCTTGCCGATTGTTGTATATTAGGGTTCTCTATGTTTTGGGGCCTTAGTGTAAGAAAGACATGCCAACAAGGAACACAGCAGGTTTGTTGCAAAAACGCGTGTGAAACAAGTACAACGGACTTTGCGCCACTTCAATTCAATTTTTCACGCATCCAGCTAGATTGATTGACGTCCCGGGATGCTTGTCGGCGTTCTTGCAGATATTTTGTTAAAGATGAAGGGGCTCAGTGGGTTTCGGGCATGGTAAGATTATTTTGAACAATCTGGCCCGCCTTACTGTCACTTGTTGTAAAAGATATGCCCACGTTCACACGTGCCGCTGATTATGAGGCCTTCTCAACGCATGATAGACTAATCCAACGGTCAATTGCTGACCTTCACCATCATAATCACGCGCATGGTCAGTCCAGCATACAAACGCTTGAAATTATAATACTTCGATTGGTTAAATGTTTTTATTTATTCAATGAACTGATGAAAATAACTCCGTTTTGTTTTCCGTTAATCGGGTTCACTCGATGATGAATCTGAAATGAAAAATGCTCATCCGATTCAGTCTCGTCCTTTTCCTTGTTAAGGATGTTCAGAGGTCTTACTAATTGTTCAGTTATTCTCGTTGTCGACGATGAAGGAGCCCTGCATACACCGATGTTGTAGTATCGGGATTCAGTGATTGTACGTATAATTAAACTAAACGAAGTTGGAACTAAAGACGAATGTACACAAGGTGGACATAAGTTTAAGTGCTACAGGTTTGGGCGCTAGAGTTCAAGAGTTAATGAGTCTCCAAACATGCCGTAGCAAAGTCCAAGAGTGTTGGCGGCTACTTGATACTAACTCTTATCCTTTGCAGCAATTTGTTCCATTTTCACATCACTGCTTCCCAATCCATTTACCCTGTAGCTTAATTGAATCAACTGCTCCGCTGTCCTCATTATAACTTATAGCTATTCCATGCTCGAACGGAGGAAAGCACTTGCCAATAGGCGTTCTATTGGTGGACACTGATTTTCAGCTCCTGGTCGTTTTTATAAAACGGCTCTTCTATGGTCTTCAGGATCCGGCCATAGCTTAAAAGCATCCACCTCTCAGAGAGACACACTTTTCATGTCTGTCATATGGCTTCCGAACTCACCCAACTCATCATTTACGCAAACGTATTGCCACTCAACTTGACTTCCAAATCTTGTCTAAACCATCCGAATGAATGAGTAAAATGTAAGCCAATGCTGGCATAACCTCATTGTCTCTGAAAATGATGTTGATGCTCCGAATGAGTTTTGCGAATTTTACTCTCTCCAATTACCCCAGGAACAAATACCCTTTAACATACATCTGGACAGCATACATAATCAAAAATTTCAGATATTCCGTCTTTTTTCTGTGCAGACATACCACAATTCATCATCTCAGTGGGCTTTGACTGCCACTTTGACTGCTTCACCCGATTGGAGATTTAGATCACCATTCAACCCCAAACATCCATAAACACTCACGCTAAGTCCGTCCCATTTATCTGCTCCTGTCCCTGAGGACTCGAGGACCGCGTGGTTGACAACATTCATCTCCACTGCATGCCCGGTTCTCAGACACCTTCAGTATTCCATGCTGAGATTCACACTCCGCCTTCTGTCCGCGATTCACACTTTCTCCTTTCATTGTTCTATTCAAAGTGCAATGTACACCTCCATCGATTCCGAACGCATAATCAGTTATCCCTATCCTATGTCCCAGTATTCAGCACCCTCAAATCACTTTAACGACAAAACCCACCGCGGGAGAGTTTATCAGCTTCCTGATTAGAGCCGTTGACTTGCAGTTGAGACTATCGGTCTGCTCAGCAATGCGGAAAATTGGGAGGAAAGCAGCTTTTCACGGAAGCACGTGTCTCTGGTACAAGCTTGCCCAAGTTAGTACATATACCCCGGAACATCACGATGTGAGTCTGAAAAAAAATAAAAAAAATAAAATAATACTACTTCACATGTAAGATTACAGTGACCAACAAAATGCATGGGGCGCCACGTCCATGAAACCATGCATTCTGAAGAGCCCCCAATCTTTTCACCGGGTTGTAACTGAGCACTTCATCTTCCAGAAGGTCAATACGAGGATGACTCGTATTTTTCTCCCATCGCTTGCTCGTGCACACTCTGAACAACTGATCCGTCTAGACTCGCATGTCTTCAAGCATTAGTTGGCACTTCTCTCTGAGCAGCAAGCAGTATAGAAAGGCACCGATATTTTGAGTCGGTATGTTGCTTTACGTAGTCACCATCAACTGGTAGCTTGTGTTCTACAATTATATAAGCCACTTTCTGAGTGCGCGGTAGTGAACCTTCCCACATACTATCTGTGATGGGCTTGTAACCCCTTCTTTGCCCTGGCATGCTCGAATACGCTCTAATTTGCCCTCCCTTGATAGCTGATTCTATACCGCCCTTAACATGAGGTAGGTACCAAGACACGTAAGCTTCAAACACAATTACTGAAACCATTCATTCAGGGAGCTCAGTGTTCCCATAATGGAAATGAATTTTCGAAAGTTATGACATGCCACGCATGGTCGTACGGCAGTGACGTGGTTGTACGGCAGTGAAGCATCGGTGCTAAACACTGATGTCATGCTGTCGATGATGATGGTGATGATGACGTATCTCGGGTGGACTAAAGCAATCAGGCAATTCACTTCTGAGTAACAATCCAAACTTTTGGGCCCCATTTAGGTACCTCTAGGTATCAGGGGTGCTGGGAAAGTATTCCGCCGGGCTTTTCCGCGAGAAATGTGATTGCTTCAGTGGGCAGTAAAATCTGGTGAGCTGCAAAAATATTGATGTAGATCAAGATGAATTTTGGTTTGAGCACATACGCAGCAAAATGCAACATTTTGGTGCAAAAAGCTTTGCTCCATTCGTAAAGGTTTTGCAATTGAGATCAGTTTGCGTGTAATAGGCCCTTCTATTGAGACGTGTGTCCTTCCTACTCAGCTTGATGGGCGATTGCATTAATAGCTATTAACGAAAATGAAGGGCATTGCGCTGGCCCTCTTCTTGAAGAACACCGACCCTAGTGTACCATTGCCTGACGGTGCAAGTGATGTGGTGCGTGAGGCTGGAGAGCGAGTAAAGTTTCTGTGCCTGTGGGTGCGCATGCCTTGTGTGTCACTTGTTATTCCCCTGGCTCGCATACATTTTAGAAGCCGAAGCTTTTCGTAGTAGAATCAACAGTGTGTGGTAACCATTCTGGCGTGGCCACCAAATGCTCTGTGTGCGCCCTGTGGACAGCATTTCTCCGGAGGTGGGGTTTCACAACAAACTGTGTGGAGGAATGACAGTAATAAAGCTTATGAGCCAGGTCCCAGTAAGCAAGGTAGCAAAGCACCAATATTTATGTATAAATGAACCAAAACGTCATTGTGGGAATACTGACATTCACACTGCGGCAGGGCCACAAGCAGTGCAATGCTCTTCGCTACAAAACCTTTACGAACGGAGCAAAACTTTTTGCTCCAAAATGTTGCATTTTGCTGCCTACGCGCTCAAACCAAATATCATTTCGATGTTCATCCATATTTTTGCAGCCCAACAGACTTTACTACCCACTGTTGCAATAACATTTCTCGCGAAAGAGTCTTGTGGAATAATTTTTCAGCATCCCCGACTCCTCGCGATGCCTGAATGGGCTCAAAAGTTTGGACTCGTACTCAGAAGTGAATTGCCTGATTGCTTTCGAAAATTCAATTCCATTGTGCGAATACTGAGCAGGCCACCGTATTCATCTCAGTTCAAATAGCGCGCCATAGTTTGTCGAACTCTTTGATGAATGCCGTTGAGGTAGTAAGAAAAAGGAGCAAACATGTTTAACACTTCTGTGCTTGGCACTCCTAGTGCAACTTGAGGCATGAAAGTGTAATACGCTTGTTTAAATCACTTGTCGGCGGAACGTCCTCTACTTCCTGCTTTCGTTTCGCGCTCTCCCGCCATAGGTTGTGATGGAACGCTACGCTAAATCGCCACCTAGGATCGAGGGTATGGTCTCTCTGAAGGTGGACAACCTGGCCTACCGCACCACTATCGAGGATTTACGCCGTGTCTTCAGCCGGTACGGTGAAGTTGGTAGGTTGAACTCTGTTCTGCTTCTATGTTTTACAGGCGACGTTTACATACCGCGTGACCCCTATACATTTGAAAGCCGAGGATTCGCATTCGTCAGGTACCCCACGGACAGAGAGGCCGACTCAGCAATTAGGGAGATGGACGGTCGCAGAATTGATGGTCGTGAGATTCGAGTGCAGCGCGCTAAGTACGGCCGACCGAACTCCCGAAGGATGAGGTTAGTCCGTTGTGTAATCCATCATATACTTTGGTGTTCCTGTTAGAGACTTGGGTTGATCAATTACGTTTTATGGTTTTCTGACCCCGAGTTACACGCTCACTGCTCAATCAAGTTAATGGTGTCCGCCCCTCTGCACGTCCGGTGGGTGTGTACACATTGGTCCCGCAGCGCGGCGCGTCTGCTTCAGGGCTATGGGGAATCAATCCACGATTGGAACCACCTTTCCATTTATTACTGGGTCGAATCGGTTGAAGTTGGCCGAAAAGTTTCTGGGCTTTCACAATTGTAGAAGAGCCAGTGATGAGGCGACTCCCGACCTTAGAGTACGGGAGCTCAAATTTCCAGGGTCCAGCTTCTGCGTAGGTGCTACTTGCATCCTTTTTAGAAGAAGACATTTATAAGGGTTTGCACTCATAGCTAGACTTGGCTGCGCAAATAGCTGACTCGCAAGCTCGGTTTCACGTTGCGGTCAGTCTTAAGTGGCAACGTGGACGTGAAGGCCTCTAGTTCTGAGCGGTTTGGCACCCTTTTGGGTTAAGAGTTTTGCGTGGAATTGGGGTTCGGGAGTACGGCGGTCAGGTTTGTTGCCTTTGCTGTCATTGTGTAAGGTATAACTTCACTGCAGTGTAATGTGTATCACAATCTGCGGTCATGGACTGATGAGCTCATTTTTTCGGTTGGGAGAGCCTATGTCGACCACAATGTGACGAGCTACATAGCATGAACGCCGTGTCTATTCAAGACTGATTCCTCGGCGACAGTAGTTGCATTCACTTATCTTTTGTGTATGCTCTGGTTTCGCGCTTGCATACTCTAGAAGCCGGGTCTGTAGGTCCGGCGTCACAGCTTTGCCTAATGAAGGTCGTGTTCGCTAACAGCTCACAATTTGTTGTGTTGGTAGAAATTCTACAACAGCAACCTCAACTCAAATTAGTCCATGCTCTAGACTTCCTCGTATGCCCTGCTTGCCGTTTTTCGAGCCCACATTGCCGCACACTTTTAGAGCCGGATCTCCGGATTCGGTGTCACAGCTGTGCTAAATGAAAGTAGTGTTCGCTAACAGCCCACAATCCGTTGGGTTGATAGAAATTCTACAACAGCAACCTCAACTCAAATTAGTCCATGCTCTAGACTTCCTCGTATGCCCTGCTCGCCGTTCTTTGAGCCCACCTTGCCGCACACTTTTAGAGCCGGATCTCTGGATTCGGTGTCACAGTTGTGCTAAACCGAAGCACTGTTCGCCAGAGGTCCACCCATTTGTGGACTGATAGAAACGTTGCCACAGAACATACTCAATGAACATCAGTATGCGCGCAGTAGCGCACTTCTACCGGCTTAGGATTCAGTCCCTTATGCGCTGTCAGTTCTGTAATTCTGGCATCACATCTGTGCTGAATGAAGGTAGTGTTCGCTAACAGCCCACAATTAACTGGGTTGATAGAAATCCCACAACAGCAACTCGCCTAGCTGTTACTCCATAATCTAGTCTTCCTCATATGCACTATTTACTGTTTTTTATGAGACTACCCTTCCGCACACTTTTAGAGCCGGATCTCTGGATTCGGTGTCACAGTTGTGCTAAACTGAAGCACTGTTCGCTAGAGGTCCACCCATTTGTGGACTGATAGAAACGTTGCTACAGAACATACTCAATGAACATCAGTGTGCGTGCAACGGCGCATGTTAACTGGTTTCGTATTCGGTCTCGTACGCTCAGCGTGACGTTTTGTATGAGCGCAGTTTTCCGCAAACTTAGAGACGGGTCTGCATTCGGTGTCACAGTTGTGGTAGACCGAAGCTTGAGATTCACAATGTGGAATATTGGTCCAGGTTACTACTTGAACGATACACCACTCGTTCAAGTATTATTGGAAGGGACAGTTATGAAGCATGCTAACCTTTTTGGAGTCTCTTCACACTTGCGACCGTATCGCTGTATCAGTTGTCACGGGTGTGATGAACCCGATGTTCACCAGTAATTTACTGTTTTAGAAACCGGATATCGGTTTCCTTCAAACCCTGGGGTAAGGTTCCCCTATTCAGATGTATTTTTACCAGAACCTCAACACATCAAAAGGATAGGTTGTCTCGAGTTAACGTATGACTGGTTAGTTTGGTTTGGTAAACTGAACCACAATTTTCATGGTTTGCTCTTCCAGCTTGCGGGAATTAACGTTGCGTTGTCTTAGTTTAGTTTCCGCTTTTAGACGTTCCAGGTCTCCACGACGAAATGGAAGACGTTCGCGGTCGTTTTCTCCTGGGCGTGATCGCCGGCCTCCACGCGGTAGGATGAATGATCGCTTTCCACCACCACCGCGACGCTTTAGTCGTTCTGATTCTCGTGAACCTCGTTAATGTACATGCTTTTACACATCTCCATCTACTCATATAAAGCAGAAATTTCATATATTTTGCTTCTTTTAATAGCGGAGCTGTTTCGCTGGGGTGGAGTGCATTGTTTGCAGTCTGACCACTTCTGTTCGGGGTATGCACGAGCTGAAATGTGGCGGTCGCTGAGCGAGCGCCTTCCGCGTAATTACTGGTGTCTGCGCTTTCGTTTGTTGCTGTGCTTCCTCCAAACTCGAGTTTTATGCAGACCTGTTCACTTTGGGGTGCTGTCCTTGTGCTGGAGTTGGACCTCCAAGCTGTTGCATACAAGTCGTGAAAATAGATCATTACCACGGCAGCGTAACGTGCCGAATGCGACCAGTCCCTTCCATGGACTTGCCGTTCATGCCTTCTGTCCGAGTTGTTCGCAGGCCCAACGATGGCAGCTGAGTTAAGTTTGCGGGACGCGGTCGTGCGATCCAAGTCCCCTTCACCATGTAGAGCTGCTGGCGGTTAGCTGCATTTGGTCGTAGTTTGCTGAATGGCGTTCACAATCGGGTGTTTCGGTGCCTTGTTCTTTTTTGTCTCAATCAGTCATGAGTTGCAGATGGTCCGGCGGATTTCCTGTTTTCCGAAGTGGTCTATCTCACGGTAAGTCCACGCTCCTAATAAGGATGTTTGTTACCTCATTTCCGTTTTGAGGTCGTTCACTTTGAGCGTTGGTGTTTGTTGGTACTCGTCCGGTGTGATTCATGTTTGTGCATCCGGGCGCGCCGCGTGTATATGTTGAATATGACTCGGTTTGATTTTATCAGTAGAGCCACTAAATTCGGAATGATGATTCTCTCTGACGTGTGCGTATCTTGAATAGCCTTAGTTGGCTGCTGATAAATAGAAGGACGGAAGCCACGACGGCGAACCTCATCCGGGCCTTCTAGTCCACTTTGAATTATAGCACCTACCCATGATCGCACCCCCTGGACAACTTGCTTTATGAGACTTACTGCCAATGTTTTGTCCCGACCGAGTTTTATCCTAGTCATGGTCGTAATGAAGTGATTACGTAAGGGGTTGGGACCTCTGAAATTCCGAGGCTTTGTTTATTTCGAGCATTAGCGTCTACCTCATTAGTGTAAACACCAGACGCGGGGCGCCAGATGCTAGTCCTGCATCGATCCATTCTGTTTATGGGATGGGCCAACCCACACGTCGAGGCACCACATGCATCTGCTGTCACTGCTCCTGAGTTTTGAGGGGAAATGCATGCCTTAGGAATCACAATAATTGGTCTTCAGACCTCATCAAATGAGTGACACTCGGACAGCGGCGTAGTCTTGTGCGAATTTGATTGTACTGTCACGTTGATAGGTCAGTTTCCTAAGTTCCAATCTGTGCCAGTCACCTTTGTAAAGACCTTACGATACCACCAGCAGGAATGCCTCAAGCTCATCTCATCACTGCATCCGCCAGGTCGCTAATCCCGTCATCTCATGTGTAGCTAGCTAGATGA